GCAGTACTAGTACCTTTTACCTGCACATTTTGGTCATTAGCCAACTTTATATTGTCACCATTATTTACATCAATCATCGATTTACACGCTTGTGGAATAGAATTGTATAAACTTGTGGACATAATATTGATTGAATTTACCGAATCAAAGAGTGCTGCATCTTGTACGGAATGAAATTTAACATGTAAATAGATAAACTTAGAATCTGTTTGCGCAATTGAAAAATTTTCGTTGTCTGAGTAAAACCCGGATGTATCATTGTCACTATAACTACTATTCTAACTAAAGCTAGGTACATTATTAGTATTTGTCAAAGTATTTACAATCCCCGAATGACGAAAAGGAGCAGGCTCTCGATATTCGTCACCGTTTATCTTCCTGAGGGGCCGTGCCTGGTGTCCCCCAGGAAATTCGGGTTTCCCTGTTGAGCGAATTGATTGTGATAACATTCAGATGCTGTATGATTGGGTTTAGAACATATCTGACAAACAACACGATTCCTAGTGTAGTTTTCAGTTTTTGCTTTGAATTTAAGGCATTGACCTGCACCATGTCCTGACTGATTACATAGCTGACAAGAAATGTCAGCCGATATCGTTCCACTTCCATTTCAATTGCAATACCTTTTAGCGTGTCCGGTACAACAACAATTAAAACAATCTAATGACTGTCGTTGGTCACTCTGTTGAAATGTCTTATCAGTGGTCAGTCTCTTCATCATACTGGTCAACTCGGAAATTTGTGATTTCATTTCTGATATTTCATCGGAATGTGGAGCATTTCGGAACGAGGGACCTTTTCCAGCAGCGGCGCACTGTTCATGAATTCGATATTTATCGGCCTCGCCTACTTTGGCAAATGATAAAGCTTCTGATTGAGGTTTAGGATGACTATTCCTCACATAAAACGCTAGTTTCTCAAGTAGACCATTGATAAAACGAAACATAATTTCATGTTCAGGTTTAGATAATATTTGTCCTTTTTCTTGAACTTGACAAGAAAAATCTTCGATTTCCTGTGTGGGACCCAACTGCATATTAAAGAAAGTTTACCCTTCCGGAGCACCTGAGATCACCCCCAGTTTTTGGTGGGGTTCGTGTTGCTTAGTCTTTGGTTTTCTATGTTGTGTCATCTGTACTATTATTTGTCTGTTTGTCTTTTTATTTTTGGCCATGGCGTTGTCAGTTTTTTTTCAATCTATATGTTTGACTGTCCCTCTGGTATCTTTCGTCCCTCTTTCACTCTCTACAACTACAGAGGGATGCTGCCAACCAATCTGGACATATTTGTCTGTAAATAGTCTTTTTACAGTGGTCCTGAAAGATCCGGACTAAGACCGTCAAACCAAGTGAGGGCAGGTCCCTCCAAATGAAGATGAAAAGCAGCAACTCTTTTCATTTAAAATGTCGAGTTCATGAAGCTTACAGAATGACTCGAATTCTGGTAGAAATTTTGTTCCATTGTCTTTAGGATAACCCGTAAATTTTCGGCATGTACCCAATTTTTCCATTACTGCAATGTTCCTGTATTTTGAACTTGAATTTATCATTGAGGGGGTACTTGTGCTAAATGTTACTTTCTTCAAACTTTCGGAATTGAATTTAATATTTTGTCTAGCGGAAACTAATTGTTCATCAATATCAGCATGTGTTAATACAGTTTTTGTGAAGTATGGCTGAATGGGGTCTATTTCAGGTGTAAATAATTGATTTTCTTGTTTACCGTGGCCATGCCCTAAAGTGAGGTGCCATGTGCTGATGCTGGGTGTCAAATTTCTAGAATATTATTTTCAATGTTTATGTAGGAAAATCTTACTTCGTGTTCATACACTATTATAACGATAATGTAATAAAGTAATTAGGGTTCCTCCACTTTCTAGGGAAGCTTGCTCGCATCTTTCTTGGTAGGCTAAGAGGCACATACAATAACAAACGTTTCTCATCAAATTTCTATTCTAGTTCTAAAATCTAATAACAAAACAGTATCCGGAACATAATATATGCAAGAAACTATGCAAAGAACAATAAGGCTATGAAAACCTACTGACCATGCCAATCTACATTCTAACAGTGTATCTTTTCATTTTACTTTTAATAAGTTTCCCCTGGTAAATGTATTCCTGCTATTATGTTTCGTTTGGTCGTATTACGTTTGACATGACTCGGTATTCATGCACCGTCATACATGTCATAAAACCAGGTTTTATCCACCATTCTAATCGGAAAATGCCTGTACCAAGTCAGAAATATGGCAGTTGCTCTGCGCTTACAATATTTTACATAAATTGATTTTTAACTATGCATGTATAATTATGAACTAAGGCAGATAACTGTAATTAAAAGTATTTGATTTGAGTAAACCTGGTCCGTAACACTTCAATGTTTGTTTCAAAGTTCAAAGTTCAAATAAAAATATTAAATCAAGGTTCATTGCTAAAAACAATGCAATGTTTGATTTAAAATTCACATTGCAAAAAGAGAGTTATCTTTTTCGTGCAGTGCCCTAAAGCACTTTGGTGAATCATTGTCCATTAAGCGCTTTTAAATGATTAAGTAAACATTACACTACAAACCAGTAAAAGTCTGAAATGGCCTATATTTGTACTCGACTGTACTGATTTTTACTCGACCAGTCTGAATTGGTCTGAAATTTACTCGACATTACTCGACCCCAGTCTTAACCATACTCGACCGTACTGATTTGTACTTGACCCTTATCTTTGCCATTGAAAATAGTCTGAACTATTACTCGACCAGTCTGAAACAGTCTTAACCCATTCTCGACCAATTTTTTCAGTCTAAACCATACTCGACCAAAGGTCTGAACAATACTCGACCAGTCTGAACCATACTTGACCAAAAAACCTATACTTTTTTTTTATTTTAGCTGTTAAAATTAATTTCTTTTTTTCTTACATGACAACAGCCACAGTAAAATAAAAATATATATAAAAACATATTTTTACATCCTTACATGATTCTCAGATTTATCAAATAGAGATAGTTAAATTAAATTATCTTATATAATAATTTAATTATATTAATTTTAAAGTTTTAGAGTTTTGTTAAAAAAAGATTTTCTTTGAACTAAAAACCACACCTTTACTGAGGGTAATAAAACCTTATTAAGGTGCTTCTTGTTTCGCATGTTTTTTTTTTTTTTTTTTAAACTTAATTTTCCTAAATTCCTAAAGAAAATCTATATAGGTTTCATGGTTACATACAATAGTTATATAATTTTCTTTTTAATGAGGTAACAACAGCCAAACAATCATAATTTGGGATATATTATATATAATATATATCAAAAAGGGATAAAAAAATTAAAGAAATAGATAAAAATTTTCTTCAGATTAGTGGTAAAGTATATAGTAATAACCTCCTGCTTGGGGCAAACTCATTAAAAAGATCACACCTGGTCAGAGAGTATTAATTTCTAATTAACATTCATTAAAAATTGCAACATCCTGTAAAACTTAAATCGCAAGGCCTTTTGAATTCACTAGATAAGTAATACACGAGTTTAAGAAAAAAAGGACTTTCTTTTTACCTGTAAAACACACATGTACTGAGGTAAATAAACCTTATTAAAGTGCTTCGTGTATGCCATGTCTTTAATTTTGACAAAAGTTATTTAAATTTAATTGAAATAATTTTTTTCTGCAACTTTGGAACACATTTCCTTTTTTAAATGGTTATCAAGGATTGCTATAATGGAAGTTCTATTATCATGATTATATTAAATTCTTGGTTTTACAAAACAAAGTGTGATTTTTAAAATTTATTAAGTTGCTTTATATACTATTTTAAATATATTTTAATAAAAAAAATGTTCACTGCATTATTAACTAAACTCAACTGACACCATAAATCTATACAAGGCTTAAGTAAATGGTGAAAATTGTCCAGTAACCATAAAATATATCTGAAACATTCAAAAAAATTTGAATAACACTGAAAATATTAGTCATAATTTAGTTTTCAGATTATTTGATCAGCTTGTTTTATTTTTATTTTAAAGGTGATATATATATGTAAGTGTTGATAAATATGGTGTTGAATTTATATTATGTTTATTGTGAAATTTTGGTTTCAATGCCATATTGAATACATTTTAAATTTCAAATTGTTGTTCAAATTTCTAGCCAGGGGAAATAGCTGTTAAAAACAGTTCCTAAATTGATGAAATACAATAGATAGATACAAAAATTGGGTCTAGGTTGGTTAAGACTTAGTCGAGTATGGTTCAGACTAGGTCGAGTATGGTTCAGACTAGGTCGAGTATGGTTCAGACTAGGTCGAGTATGGTTCAGACTAGGTCGAGCATGGTTCAGACTAGGTCGAGCATGGTTCAGACGAAAATAAAATGGTTAAGTACTGGTCGAGTAAAGGTCGAGTACAAGTTCAGACTGTTAAGTATGGTTCAGACTACAGTCGAGTATTATCAAGTAAATTTCAGACCAATTCAGACTGGTCGAGTAAAAATCAGTACAGTCGAGTACAAATATAGGCCATTTCAGACTTTTACTGGTTTGTAGTGTAAGTAGAATCACACAAATCCTAGCTTACTGACCCTTATTTCTTGTGACAGTCATTATTGATATTTTATTGACCTTATATGACTTATCAATCTAACCATTAATGTATTCATATACATTATTGCACTTAGATGATGATTCACACCATTTATCTTGTAAACCTTTATAGGTAGAGAGCAAATGGTAAATTATGTTTCTCGATCATTCAGTTTGGTCAATTTACTCGAAATCTATAATGGATAAGATAAAATGAAGCTTTATTCCGTTAACATGGTAAAAGTGATCAAGAATATAAAATCTAAAAGAGGCATGTATTGATTGAAGCCATCGATTACTTAAATTCCTGAATTTCAAAGCAATTAATGATCTCACAGCTTTTTGGCAATTTGTATGTTATTTGCATATGAGAGTAAAAAGTAGAATAAATAATTAGAAATTAAAACTGTATGAATTATAATTGCAGATCCTTTTGCCCGTCTCAAAGCCACTGAAGCACTGGAATGTCTTGCACTAGCAGCCTTTTTATCAGCGGTAGTATGTGCAATACTGAAGATGTTTGTATTAAAGAATCAAAGAATGCTGTTTGTTGTTACAGGCTTGCTGAACTTATTGGCAGGTTAATATGATATTTGTGTAATCAATGTAACAGTTTAGCTGACATTTATTTTAGAACATGACAAAGAAAAAGAAAAAATAAGGTACACTGTAATTTTTTTTTAAATATTCTAATATGAAAATGAAAAGGCAAGTACATCGACAAAAGAACAAGATCTTGTTTGTAAAAGAATAAATCGATAACTTCTAAACATTCGATTACCTGTTATAAAGATAAACCATTCTAACATGTGATTGATAATTTATTATGATCTAAGAGTCATATATCACGATATATTTCTATAGGTTGCACTTTGTAAATACAGCTGTTTCACAAACCACGCCTCTTTTGGAGAGATATATATAAGATTCATAGATATTTTGTTTTGTTTTTGTACTGGTTCCCAGATATGATCTCTATGTTTCGTTTCATAGAGACATACCTTGGGAATGTTACCAGTATAAATTAACATGAATAGCGTCCAGCTTGAATTCTGAGAAAGACCCAAAGTGAAGGAAGGGGTAGTACAGAAATTTTGTATAAATTTAAACTCATAGAAGTTCGGGGTATATAAATTTTGAAAATCTGCCGCACAGCTCCATATTTTGACCTTTGAAAATATTAGTAGGACAGATGAGTTCCATTCTAAGATATATGTTTTTACGAAACTTCATAGTAAAAGTGGTACAGTTTAAGCCGTAAAAGGAGTTCCTATGGGAAGTAGCATTTTCTATTTTTACAGAAGTGCAACCTACAGCAGGGGTTTTGCTTCACCTGAGATCACCCCCAGTTTTTGGTGGGGTTCGTGTTGCTTAGTCTTTAGTTTTCTATGTTGTGTCATCTGTACTACTATTTGTCTGTTTGTCTTTTTATTTTTGGCCATGGCGTTGTCAGTTTGTTTTCGATCTATGAGTTTGACTGTCCCTCTGGTATCTTTCGTCCCTCTTTTATTGAAACGAAAGTAAAACAATACTTGCTCAAATCCTTGTCAATGTAAACTACTAAGAGAAATGAAAATGCACAATCCGTCATATATCACACTACTAAATCATCATAATAACATTTGGAACAAAGTAATCATACATAGCCTAATAGTACTTGTGATGGGATTTGTTATATTAAACAAAAAAGTAAAGACAGAAACTAAATTTCTGCAGACAGAAAGTACTGGAAACACATTTCTAAAATTTACAGGAGGTAGGAATCATGTTCCCTTAATTTCACCTATGTGTACAAATCTGAAAGTTGTTGGAATTTAAATGTTGTAGATTCTTAATGTTACACACAGATTTACAAATGTTTTTAAACAGTCATATGCATAAACTCAATATATTATACAGTGATAGCCATGTTTGATATACTATCGCAATGTTTTCACGTTTTTGTAAACCTTTGCATGGAAGGACCTCCATACAAATCGGTCAATATCATAAACTTAAGTCTTACGTAATTATTATGAATCGTATGTGTATTCCTATGATATACATTTTGACTTTATATTTTTGTATTCCCTTTCAAATTTTGTTTTGCTGAAAGTTTGCATTTAATAAGAATTCAACATATATCAACGTTAAAAAAAGAGTCTTACTTACAGACCTGAGAAATATCTCAAATGGTTCAACTAGATTTTTTGACATATACAGTTTTTGATTCAGCCATGCTGGATCTATGCGATCACCCCGGATTTGGAGATGGTGCAAAGTTCTAAGTTGTAGACATATCATGAAAATAATTGTGTGTTTCTATGACTTGCAGAAACTTTATACACCATTTTAATCATCAACTGCCAACTTTTGACATGTTATTTGCCCTTAAATTAAGAAAAGATTGGTCGAACAACTCTTTCATTTTAGATATACACTTGCATATAGTTACTTTATAAATCAAAATTTATAATAATTTTCCTATTTATGAATTAATGTGAAAAAGTAATATTCATCAATTTAATCAGTTGATAAGAATTTTGAAAGTGTTTTATAGTATCGTTTGCTTGTGTAAGTTACTGAATAAAATTTGGGTCAAGTGTGTATTGATAAAAATTATATCTAAGATGATTCCCACACGTTTTTGAAATGCTATCACTCCAATTCTTTCCTTAGGCAAGTAAGAGTCAGTATGATTATCAGCTGTCATGATTTTCAAACAATTACACTGAAAGGTGTAAGTATTAATTGGAATCAACTCCAGATTTAATTCACCACAGTTATTATCTAATGATCTGTTACATGATTGAATAGACACAATTTATTACACACCTAACTGAATACACAAATTCTTGACCTCAATAGTAGACCTACAAATGTATTATGTATTTTGATCTTCACTACATTAAATTATTCTGTTATTTTTGTGTGAAAGCTGAATGATTAATCAGATATTGGGTTTTTTTCAAAGAAAAGACCATAAAAAAAAAATATGCACAAAAAATGCAAGCAGATTTTATTTCACTTGTAAAATCAGTGTCATTATCATCTGACATAGGTCAATAATCAAGTTCTAAGTAATAAACAATTATCAGTAATTGGGTTGAAACAATAAACAAAATTGCATAACTCTTACCTGAGCATTTTCTGCAATAAAAATTATTCTCTATTTATAGCATTATATTGCCATTTAACAGTACCTGGAAATATCTCAGTATTTGTAGTTATATTTGAATACAGGAAATGTTTTTTTTTTCTAAATGAAGAATGATCACCAATTTAGATAAAAATTAGTAACACTGTTATCTATTTTTTTAATTTGTGTTGTTTAGAAAGTGCATTTTTAATGCCTCTTTCTGGAAATTATTATGCCAATTATTATTAATGGCTTGTAAAATATATACTTCTTGTTTGACGATTTCCCTTTCTATTCTTCGCAAAATCATTAAATTGCAAATATTTATAAAAAAAAAGATGTTCAAAAATATGACAGTGTCTAAAATTGATATTTCAAAATAAATATTTGCATCAATATTGCGAAATTCTCCATCCTTGGGCAATAGCATAGAAATTTTACAGTAAAATTATGGAAATGAAAAGAGCAAAAAAAAAAATATTTAAAGAAGTATAGTCAGAAAAAATATCATACTAGCTATAAAATTGGCTGGATCACAACATCAACGATGCTTTGATTTATTCATATGTTCCATGAAATCAAAAGACTTCGAATACTTTTGTCAATCTCTAGTACTAACTGCCTATTTTCAAATAAAAAAAAAGAAGATTTTCCACTTATTCATGTCAAATTGGGAGCAAAAACATGAAATATAAAGCCTTGTAAACGTTTTTTTTTATTTCCAATTTTTCTAGCAGCTTATTAAATTGCGTTCCGAAGGAGAACCTGCGTTGGTTTACTCCAAAATGATCAAATATCCTATTCTTAGGATGTCAAAATGTTTAGAAGTAAATTCTTTAAGTAATCATTTGTATGTATAGAAATGGAACACCACGATTGAAATCATCATATTCAGGACTTAAAACATGATTTTGTTTTATCATAGTAGAGATACAAATGCAGGAATAATTGAAGGACGAAACAGTATTAGAGTTGAAGAAAAACAATTAACATGGTTCGTTTAATTTTAGGTGGATTTGCCTTGATAGGAGTCATAGTCTTCGCAACTATAAAATTACATGGTCACTTTCACTACTCGTTTGGGTTATGTATTGTTGGTGGAATCGGCGGAGTGTTCTCAGGCATTGTATTCATCTTAGCATGGCGATGGGTGAAAGACTACGAAGGACTATGAAGATCCAACTGTATTGATGTTTTTCCTGTCAATGAAAAAACAAAATTACTTAATGTATACATTTTTATGTCACTGAATGAAGTTAATGGAAAGAATGAATGATACATGCGCAACATATTATTAACATTGCATTTCTACGCTGATATTCACTTGTGACAGTTATCTTAGTACTTTGTCCAGTTTCTTAGCAAGATCTTTTTTTCCGTATTACACTAGTTCGTCTTCAGATATTATTTCTTTTTTTGGTAAACCGAAATATATTTTGATGAGGTGTCAACCATGAATCCAATGACGAATGGTATTTTTACTTGTGTATATAACGAACTATTTACTAAATTATTTTTGTAATAACATTACGCAATGTAAAAGAATAAGTGATGGCTTTAGTAATTTAAAACTACAAACTTGTTTTACTAATGAAATCAATTCGGGTAAAAATAATTAATGCAGTTTCAATTATGTATCTATATGGCCTTTGTCCCCTTTGACAGGTAAACTCTTACAGGGAAAATGTAGACTACCGGCTGTAAGGTATATTCTAAATAAATGGACCAAAAGAGAGGCGAAAGATACCAAAAGGACATTCAAACTCATAAGTCGAAAATAAACTGATAACGTCATGGCTAAAAAAGAAAACGACCAGCAGACAAATAATAGTACACAAAACACAACATAGAAAACTAAAGAAAAAGTAAAAATCACTATCTTGGATGTATATCAGTTCTTTTTATTCATTTATGATTAAATTTAATTTGTAATGAAATTTGTTTTTTGTTGTTAATGCTTACGCAGTAGAGGAAATATAGTATTATTTCCATTTTTATTAACAAAAATAATGTTTCCTCTTTTAAGGACAATCATGCAGATTGAGTAATGCATAGTCCTGTGACTTTCTGTGTCACATTCGTTTATTGCAAGTCAAATACTTCAATAACCACAATGATCCAATCATTTTCTCATAGTGTGTTATGTTATACTTTGATTTACCTGATTGAGCATTATAACACTATACAACCAAAATTAAAAATACATATTTTGTTTGGTATTATTATTCAACTTTTAGCGTACGCTAATAAAAATAGTTCATACAGGTACTGTCAGATTCTGAAGAAGTGTCCAAACTTTTTGTAGACTAGAACCACTTCTATCAGAAACTGTTCTAATGGAGTCACGAGAACTGTTCTAGAACGGGTCTCAAGGTAGCTTCTTAAAGTTCTGAGAGAAATTAGAACTAGTATCGACTGAAGTTCTGATAATTATGACAATTAGTTTGCGTTGGCATTTTCTATTCTATATTCTTTCCAGATACCTTTATTGAGCCTAATAATTAAAACATGTCCTGTTCGTTAAATATCTCATCATGATATTTAATGACAAACAACTCACTGACCCGGTAGAGTAGACAAACCCATTGTCATAAGTATCAGATAGAACCTGTATCTATAGTACCTATTCCTGTCTACATCACTTCACAAAGTGGACAATAGGTACGAGTCATAATTGCGGAAACATCACGGGACTTATACCCGATATATGGTCATAGATACTTGTATTGGAACGGAAATGATATTTGCATTTTTTGTCTTTAATATGTATTGATATATCCTTTTGTTATTGTATCAAATTAGTTAACAAGGCATTATTTGTTTAATACTACATAAATTAAATTTTGCACTAAAAAAGGGGAAATAAGGAACAATATATTTGTATCGTCAACTTGAGTATTGAGAACATGGTTTTCAAATGTTAATTTATGTGTCAAGAAATACACGACAATCATCAAATAAACAGTCGAGTGTACAAAATTATCCGGTTCACATTAGGACTTACAGTAATAGTATTCTATTTTAACTGTCTAGTAGACGTTTCTATTTGTGTTGTATTGAAACTTGACAAGTTTTTGTATCGTTACTTGACCATTTTTTATATAGTCACATGCCGAAGATAATATGATGATTGTTTAAAGTAAAACAATTGCTTTATAATCTGCAGGTTACTTTCATATTGTAAAATGTGGAATTGGAAATTTTTGTTGCTGGCCGAATTTTTTTCTTACAAGTTTACTTCAGTTGTATCAAATTGATGTTAGCGATTAGGAGACGTGCCCTATTCTTTATGTAAGCAGTACTCTTTCCGCGTAAAATACGATCGCTTTCCATACAACATTGAGCAGGTGAAGAAATCGTATTCCGTTGCATAAAATTAGAAAAAAAACGTTTCTAAAGCTTAAATTAGTATTATATATTAATACTGCTACTGTGAAGTATATGTCGAATAAAGATATTCATTTATTCTTATAAATATGTATATACAGGGGATAGATTAATAGAATCATGTGCAAAACAGTGTAGCCGAGACCATTGATTGGAGCGCTAAAATATCCCATTGACTGGGTCAGATAAGGTGAACGTTCGTCTGTAACGCCCACAACTCACAACGTATTTATTATAGACATTTAAACTGTGGGGTCACCAAAGGGTCTCAACGCCTAAATAAAATAATTCGAAAAACTAATCAGGAATAACCTTTGTGTTTTGATTTATATTGAATACTTTAACGTTCTTTACTAGTGTTTTTGTTATGTTTTGATAATGAATTTTTATGATATCGGACGTTCTTTCAGCAAAAAAGGATTTAACTGGCTTTAAAAGTTACAATGGATGTGTTGATTATCATCTTTTTTTCGGACGTCAAAGCGATTTAACAATTGCGGTTGTCCAATTATGTCATTTTTTAACTTTTATCTGGTCAAAATTTTATTTTAGAACGAATGCATGATCAACTTTAAAAAGTGTGCAAACACAAAACATATAGACAAAATATACTTCTTTCCTGTCTTTTTCGTACTTGCAAGTTATTAGACAGTAAAAAGGCTATTTGGATCAAGCCTTATGAAATTTGCATTTACGTTTTTGAATAGGTACAGTCAAGTTTAGCGATTGATAATTCATTGATAACATTCTGGCGTATCACAAACAAACAACTTGCAACGTCTCATTTCATTGGCCGAAAGATTTAAATACAACAACAATTGTAGTGTGCACGTGAATTGACACAGGTGACCGACAATGGAATGTACTACGTTACTACGAAAAAACAATGATTTTTGGTCGAAATAATTAAATAAGTATTTTGTGAATTTCAAATAGTGGGGTCGAAATATTATACTAATAATTTGTGTTAAGTAATATTCTTTATGCATGCAGCACTTGTACCGCACTATGAAAAATATAAGGATAAAATAAAATACATGTGCCGCTTTTATACGGATGAATGTATGAAGTTCAACCACTTTAATTTCTTTCAGATTGACGCTAGGTTATTATCCTGACATTGTCGTAGTTACTTATAATAAGGATCTCATAATACTGATCCATTTCAAATTTATGATGGGTTGCACATTCCTCTTTTATTGTTTTCATGCTATAAAACGAAAATAAAGTAGCTAAGCGTTTGGTCATTCAGAAATGACGTGTCATAAACAAGCAAATTGTCCCCGAAAGATCGTATCATGTGTGCACGTGAATATAGATGTACTATGCAATGTACTATCATGGTCAGCACGAAATTCAAATGAATTCAGTGAAGGCATGTTGGTGTAAAAAGGTTTGAAATGTTTCATCGGCGAAGATTTTATTTTTGCATGTGTGGAACTAAAAAATAAATAAATACTTGTGAGAAATGTCGTAGTTTATAAGGAACTATATAAATGTACTGTTTTCCATTTTAATTGGTTGAAAATTTATCCTTTAATTTCATACCGTAAGAATAGAGCTTTGCATACCATTGTTGAACTATCCGCCAAAGTAACGTGTGGCATGCGTGCGTATTAAAATGAAATACAAAATCATACAAGTATGATAAACTTATAAACGAAATATTAAGAAATTAAGGATGACTACTGTAAAAGTATGTACAAAAATGGAGTCACCTTTTATCAATACATTTAGTGAATAACCACACTGTTTAAAACTGATTGTTTTCTATGCAACTATTTAAATATTTACAATATATAATTTTCAACCGAGGATAGCAAAACAGTTAATTATAAATTAAGAAAGTATATCGCTGGAGTTTATAAAGTACATTTCCTTCCACTGTGCCATGGTTTGCCATCTCCATTTTTCTCAACTACTATACTTGTGAAAAACCCTTGGCAACAGAAACATATTCAGCTTTTTTTTTAATCGACCCAATTTACATAGTAATGGACGACTTCGTACATTTTATGATCGCAAATAAAATATGTATATAATATACTGTGCACTGTAGTTCGTATATATACTGAGACCCTTTGGCAACCCCACAGTTTAAATGTTTATAATAAATACGTCGTGAGTTGTTGGCGTTACAGACGAACGTTCACCTAATCTGACCCAGTCAATGGGATATTTTAGCGCGCCAATCAATGGTCTCGGCTACACTGTTTTGCACATGATTCTACAATTACACAAATTAAATTATAAATTGCCTAACAATGTAACTTTAACACACTATTTAGTATGTAAATATTAAAATGTTAAAAATATTTACAATGCGATAAAAAATAAACGCAATATTTCGCTAGACAAACTAGCTTCATCGAGCGTGCATCTATCCAGATGAAATCGGATGCAGATAAGAAACTTTTGCAGCTCATTGTACATTAATTTTGCTGCCTGGTAAAAACTTCAAAGTTTCGATAAAGTTTAAGATTATTTTTTTAATTACAACATTTGTGGTTGAAGTATGCAACGTCCATTGGCCAATATTACAGATATATAAAGGACGATGCTGTATAATTAATCATTCTTTATCTTTCCTGAATCTTTTCTAGTCTTTTTCATTAAGCCCATCAGGTTCTTAAGTATGGAGCTGGTGGATCCTCAAGTTTTTTCTTCTCCTTCCCGCCGTGGTGTCCCACTCAGTGTTCACTTCTATGATTTGGAAAGGGACATTATCAAAGGGATGTTTCTTTGAGCGAAGATGTCTTGTGAGGGGACAGTTTTTGTTGGTTTTGTACCATGATCGATGGTTATTTAGCCGAATATTAAATTTGTCCATTGTTTCTTCCACATACTGAACTGAGTTCTCTGTTTTACAGTTGGAATTTATGTAGATGGTATAACTTTGTTTTGTAAAGGAGCTGATGAAAGAACTGCTAGTATTGGCAGCTTTACAGCATAAGCAAAACCAAAATTTGGAGTCATTTATTAAGTACGTGAGGTCTGATATAAAATCCTGCATAACAAATAAAAGAAATTATAACTTATCCAAATAAGAAAGCGTCGCTTTGAAAATGTTAAAAGAACAAGAGAATATTGTAATAAAACCCGCCGACAAAGGGGGCGCTGTAGTTGTTATGAATAAAACAGATTACATTGAAGAGGGTGAATTGTCAAATGTCAAACTCAAATTTTTACAAGTAATTAACCAAAGATCCGACACAAAATACCATTCGAAAGATCAACACCACCCTTCAAGAGATGTACGACCAAAAGCAGATCGATAATGACACCTTTGACTATCTTTGACCTCTTGAGAACGAGGCAGAACTGGATGATTCTATATGTTGCCTAAAATACACAAAACTGGCAATCCAGTTTGGCCTACTGTTTCAGTAAATAGTCATCCACCTGAAAAGATATCTGAATTTGTAGACCATCACTTAAGAACTCATGTTAAAGAACTCCTCTCTTCAGGATACGACTGATTATTTAAAGAAAATGGAGAGCCGTAATCCTTTACCAAACAGTACCATACTCGCATCCATGGACTTTTCTT